GTATATACCATGCTATAGGGAATAATAATTTCCTGAAGACTTCTTAATGGATGTTAAGATAATCAGAATAGGTGTGGCAGCGCTCGCTTGTAATCCAAGTAGCTTGGGAGGCTGAGGCAGGAGAGGACTGCAGGTTCCAAGCCAGCCAGAGCAATATAGTGAGGCTGTAAGCAACCTAGTGAGACCCTGTCTCAAAATAAATAATAAAAAGGGGTGGGGATGTAGCTAAGTGACTAAGTGCCCCTGGGGGTTCAGTCCCTTGTACAAAAAAAAAAAAAAAAAAGATAATCAGAGCAATGTTTAATGAAGATTCGAAAAATAAAGAGGAAAGTGGGGAGGAAGTCACTGGCTGTTTTGAGCTTCTTCCATTCCTGGTGTTGTATCAGATTGTCCCTGATCTATCCCAGTGCCGGGTTTCCACACAAAATGATTTTGTTCCTTCATTGCTCTTCATTCATAACATTGCCTGTCCTACACGAGTCATCTGCTTCCCTTTTTGTTAACTCCTTACATCCAGTCTCCAGCTAAGTCCTCTATCATTCTACCTCAGTAGTATTTCACATCTCTCCTCACCTAGGTAATTTCAGTAGTTTTTAGCTCCACATTATCTCCTTACTCCAGCTTATTTTATACACAATATTAGATTCATCTTACCAAAGCCTAGCTCTGACCATGTATCCCACCCACTTGTGTGTTCTATCTCCCCCACTAGACTGTAAGCTCCTTACGGGCAGGACCTGTGTCTAGAGTCATCTTTGTTATCCCCCGTAGCACCTACCAATAAATATTTCTTGAATGAACAAATGAATTCTCATTTCTCAGCATAAAGCTTGTCTAAAGTGAAATGTTTTTCAGGTTATACATAAGTTTCTCTCTGGGGTAATTGCAAGACTTCAAAAGTTTTCTCACATGAAGTTGGTCTGATGATAACAATTATGACTTAACCACAGAAAATTTCAGAAAACTTTAATTTTTTTCCATTGGAATCAGCATGGATATGTGTATGGATGGTTCAATAAATATACTTTTATATACATGTATCACAGAAATTTTACATTCCATCTTCAAACTGCAGAAATAGATTTTTTTACAAGCCAAAAAATAACTGCCATAACTTTTATGACTCCATGCAAAAAAGGGAAGAGTAAGGGGCCACAGGGAATTGGTTGTTCAAGGTTGAATGTCCAATAAAAAGTAAAAATGTTACATCAAGGAAGCGATTGCTTAACACGCTGCTTAAGGTGGTAGCCAAACAAATCCTTAACTGCAGCATTAAGGCCATACCAAGTTTATACATATATACAAAGAAATTTCCATATAAAAGACACTATTACATTTTCTTCTGGGAAAGGTTGAGGAACTTCNCCGAGAACTAAAAAATAAATATTAAAAAAAAATTTCTCTCTCTCTCTCTCTCTCTCTCTCTCTCTCTCTCCCTCTCTCTCTCTCCTCTCTCTAAAAAAAAAAAAAAAAAAAAGAGGAAAGAACAATGTGAAAAGAGAAAGAGCTAAAGGGCTGTTGTAGTCATTAAAATTTGAGGCCACGAGTGTCTGACTCAGAATAAGAAGATAGAATGGTTAAAATTTAGAATGAAAATAAACAAGAAAATTGTGTTAAGACAGGCTCTAAAAGAGTTAAATTTTTAAATGTCATCACAAGTCCAGGTGTATGTGAGAAAAGTGATGTTATAAAGAAGAACGTTGTAGGGGAAAAAGTGAGTTCAGCTTTGACAAACTGGCATAGAAATGCTAGCTGACATAGAAGTGAAAATATATAGCAAGCAAATTGAGAAAAAAATGCAGGAATAATAGATCTTAGATCTTTTTCAACTATTCAAACTAATTTCTACCTGCCAAATCTTGCCTGTCTACTTGGCAGACACTAGATTTCTTTCTTTTTTTTTTTTTTTTTTTGAAGCTCTGGGATCAAACCGAGAGGCACTTAACCATTGAGCCACATGCCTGGCCCTTTTGTTGTTGCTTATTTATTTATTTATTTATTTTTTAGGTACCAAGCATCGAACTCAGGGGCACTTGAACACTGAGCCACATCCCCAGCCCTATTTTGTATTTTGTAATAGGGTCTCACCAAGTTGCTTAGCACCTTGCTTTTGCTGAGGCTGACTTTTAACTCCATGATCCTCCTGCCTCGGCCTCCTGAGCTGCTGGGATTACAGGCATGTGCCACCACACCCTGCCCTTTTTTATTTTGAAACAGGGCTTTGCTAAGTTGCTTACATTGACCTCAAATTTAGAATCCTCCTGCCCAGCCTCCCAAGTAGCTGGCATTACAAGCTCTGCCACCAGGCCCAGTTGAGTCACCAGATTTCTTAAAGAACCCTGGCTCTGGCCATTGTTTTTCTAATCTGTAAAACACAGAAGTACACACCAAAAGCCTGTGGGAGTGGTATTATGTGAACTAATGTTTCATACTGGCATATCTCTTCTCAAGCACACTTCAAGAGCATAGCTCCCAACAAAAAGTATCTGAGGTTCTGACTTCAGTTTCAACAATAACTACACATACACTTATACTATAAGTTATAAGCAAGCTATAAAAATTTTACATGTATTTGAATAATTATTAAAGACGACCTCTAGAAAACAGGAACTATGTTTTATTTTGCATACCATACCCTTCAGTAAACTAGTATCTAGGAAGTACTCCAATAATATGCAATGAAAGAATGAAAGAGAGTTTGCTCAATGTTTTCTGAATCTGAAAATCTAGGCATATATATTGAAAAAAGAATTGGACTGAAAAATAAAACAATGAGCATAATCCTTATAAAGTTAGTAACTAGCCAGTGCAGCAGTACACACTTTTAATCCTAGTAATTCAGGAGGCTGAGGAAGGAGGATTACAAACTCAGGGCCAGGTCTCAAAAATAAAAAGGACTGGAGGTAAAGGTTAGTGGTACAACACCCCTGGGTTCAATCCCCAGTATTAAAAAATAAATAAATAAAAAGAAAGAAAAAGTAGTAATTGTTGGGTGCAGAGCAGGCTGAACTGTGTTGTCTGCAGGGCAGGCTGAACAGATGTTGGCTGCAGGGCAGGCTGAACAGATGTTGGCTGCAAGATAGCCCATGCACTCAAACCCCCCTCTATCTGGTCCTTTATCACCTGTTTGTGTCAAGTCCCGCTCAAGGCTGAGCACTCAACCCCCCTTGGGCCAACAAGGCAGCTTGCAGACCCAGAGGCCCCATTAGATTTGGGCTATAAAAACTCCCTCCTGCCAGGCCCCCCTCTCTCTTGCTTTCTTTCTCTTGCTCTTNAGGCCCCATTAGATTTGGGCTATAAAAACTCCCTCCTGCCAGGCCCCCCTCTCTCTTGCTTTCTTTCTCTTGCTCTTTCTCTCTTGCTCTTTATCTTTCTTGCGTGCACTCTCTGTCTCTCTCTTGCTCTTGCTCTCTCCCTGTTCATCTCTTCTTTCTCTCTTTCTCTCTCTCTCTTTCCTTCCTTCTTTTCTCTTTGTTGCACTGCTGCAATAAAGATCTTTTGGTCACTCCGAGTGTTGTGGTCACTTTCCTTTCAGTAATTATATCCAAGAGAAAAAGAATACTCACTTAAATGAAATAGCATGGAAACATAACAACAACTGCTCAAAGAATGAAATAAATGTTAAAAGAAGGCTGAGAATAAAGACTGGTCTAAGATGGCCTACTTATTAATTGAATCTGTGGAATTAGACAAGATTCTGCATCTTTTAATCACCCTGTGAATGAAATTATTTTCTAATAGCAAATAAAAGTAAGAATTTAATATACTCTGCATATCTTTAATTCACACAATAATTGTCTCTCCCCCACTGTATTAATGAGGAAATTAAAACCATGGAGCTTCACTATGATTCTAGTCACAAAGCAAGTAAATAATCTACTTTTGTTTGTTTCCTAAGTGATCTAGAATGTGCATATGCTAAATTACAAGTTATAGGCAGGCATAGTGGCACACGCCTGTAATCCCAATGGCTCAGGAGGCTGAGATAGAAGAATTGTGAGTCCAAAGCCAGCTTCAGTAACACTGAGGTGCCAAGCAACTCAGTGAGACTCTGTCTCTAAATGAAATACAAAATAGGGCTGGGGATGTGGCTCAGTGTTCAAGTGCCCAAGTTCAATCCTCGGTACCAAAAAAGGAAGAATACTAAATTACAAGTTATGTTCTAAAGCCAATAAAAATTCCACTTTTCTGATACCATATGAAATTCCCAGACAGAAATACCACTTATGTTAACAAACTGTAACTTTCCAAAGCAAAAATTTAGATTTCTGAAATTTAGACCTCAAGAATTGCTATGCTCTTCCAGGGTATCTTTCCCTTTTAATTCTAAAACAAATGTGAAATATTACAAATACCAGAAATATTTTTATCATTAACACACATCATTAGTCACATCATTAACGCACACTTACCCTTAATAAAACTGTTTTAGTAGTTTAAGCCACACATTATTTTGTAAAGAAAATGAAAATAAGAGTCACTGTACACGGGTTAACAAGACCTCTGAAAGATACAAATTCCCTTAGGAGTTCCTTATAAACAAGTATTTAAAACTAGAAGATAGAAATAGAAAGGAATGATGGCACACACCCTGTAGTCCCATCTAATCCAAAGCTCAGACAGGAAGATGGCAAGTTCTAGGTCTACCTGGATGACTTAAAAAGAACCTGTCTCAAATAAAATTTTTAAAAAGTAGGATTGGAAATGTAGTTCAGAGGTAGAGCATTTGCCTAGTATGTGCAAGCCCCTGAGTTCAATCTCCAGCACTGTAAATTAGAAGACAATAAAAATAGAAGAAAACTAGAAAGTCATTTTAAATTTCCTTCCTGTGTTTCCTAAATCCAATTAGGAAACTAGTACTATTTCCATAAAATTTACTAGATTTTATGATCAAATGATGCTTAAAAATGCTAAGGCTATTAATGATTCATTTGTCCTAAAGCAGAAAGATTCACCCTATTCCAAGCAAAAATTCAGAAGATCAGTCAGCATAGACTTACCCAGGTTTCCTTGCTCAATTGTCAGCACCACCTCATCCATCACCACAGCCCTGAAGTCCAGTTCCTCTTCACCACATTTGGACTTCAAAGCTCGTAAGATCTCTTTTTGGGGATAGTCTTCCCTGATACGACGATCTGTCAAAAACCACAACTTTGCAGCCACAGAGCTACACATCTTGATCTGCTTGTTCTTTCTCTTCTGGATTATTTCTTCTTGAATGTAAACTCTACATGGAAAAAAAATATACATACAAATCAAGAAATCAAGTGCAAATCAAGGAATATACTTAATGTTTGGATTTTATACATGCAAATGCTGAGTATACAAAACTATGCAATAACTATAATATAGTTATTATATAATAGCTAGGAATAAGGTAAAGATACTATGCCTTTTTTATTTTCATTCAAACTAAAAATTATATACTAGTAAAAATATAGAAACTGGCAACTTTTCCAGAAATAAGATTTATCTTTTGTCCTTTAAGGAAACTCTCACTGCAGCTTAACATTAATAATTTCAGTTGGTCACTTCAAAGAAAAATGGGACATAAAGAAAGAACATAGACCAGTATATTGTCTAGCAATATACTTCAACTTGATCACCTCCTTTTCAGTTTTATTTCTTCACTAAAAATCAATCTCCTTCTTGACATGAAATAGACGAAATCCCAATCATCAAAAGATACCCCATATTTCCCATCAGTAGTCTCATTATGTATATTTTGTATATGTAATTAGCTTAACATTCAATTTCCTTCCCATGCTTTGTAATAGTACAAAATGAGATAACAGCACTGATATTACTAGGTAAATATATGCTGACATCACTTACGTAGTAATTTTAATCAAAATAAATACAGAAGAAGAAAAAGGACTTTGAATAATCAAAGTAAATGCCCAGGTCCTCACACTATGCTCTTACTCAGTGTTTGTATTCTTTCTTTAAATAGAAATTTGGAAACTCAGTTTACTAGAATACAAAAAAAAAAAGGACTTTTTTCACAGTGATAAAAAGTCACTAGATTTTGAGTAAGACAACAGTTTAAAGTTGTCTTCCTGGAAGGCAAAAAATAAACAAAATGAGTYTGAGAATAAGAAGGAAGTTTAAAAAAATTTTTTAATTAAAAAAATTTCAGGGGTTCGGGGGTTGTGGATCAGTGGTAGAGTACTTGCCTGGTATGTGTAAGGCCCTGGGTTCAATCCTCAGCACCACAAATAAATGAATTAATTAATTAATAAAGGTCCATTGACAACTAAAAATATATATGTTTTTAAAATGTTTCAAGTACAGTTGTCCCTTGCTCTAGGTATCCAAGAGGTGGTAAAATTTGATTCCCAGAACTCCACCCCTGCCTACACACCACATCCTACTCCCAGGTACAACAAAATCCAGAGTTAAGTCCCTTACATAAAATGGTATATTTTCATACAACTATACACATCATTGGGGATTAGATGCAGGGACACTCTACAACTGAGCTATATTCCCAGCCCTTTTTAATTTTTTTATTTTGAGATAGGGTCTCTAAGATACCAAGGCTGGCTCCAAACTTAGAATCTTTCTTTTTTTTTAAATTTTTAATATTTATTTTTAGCGGACACAACATCTTTGTTTGTATGTGGTGCTGAGGATTGAACCTGGGCCACACGCATGCCAGGCGAGCATGCTACCGCTTGAGCCACATCCCCAGCCCCCAAACTTAGAATCTTTCTGCCTCAGCCTCCCAAGTTGCTGCAAATACAAGCTTGCACCACTGGCCACACCCCGCCCTCCTGTAAACTTTAAATCATCTTTAGATTACTTATAAGACTTAATTCAGTATAAATACTATGTACGTAGTTGTTTTACTGTTTTGTTTAAAAATACCAAGAGTCTGTATATTTTCAATACAATATTGACTGAATCTATGGATGCAGAACCAGGGCATAGAGGGCTGACTACTATTCAAGTATTATCCCAGATAAGGTGGTAAAACTAACTCAAAAACAAAGGGTAAAGATTAGAGGATAGCAAAATCTAAAGGGATCAGCAGCTTCATGAAGAGCAGCAGCTATACTGGTCCTTCATGCATATCTCCACTCTCTCAGATATACAATTGGAAGGACCTGATCCTCGGAAATATGGTAAAACCAAAGTCAACAGTGCACGTTGACCTACACCATGCCTGTCAAACTCACTCACCTATGCTATTCTCAATCTACCTATCCCTCCCTCAACCCACTTCCTCAAAGGTGTAAATAAGTCACTGATATTAAATAAGAAGGATATCTATTCTAAATATGATAATAACTTACACTAGGAAGGAACCATGCTCACAATAACATATTATACTCAATTCTGGTCAATCTGTAAATTAAAAATTATACTCTTTGTGCTATAGTTTGTGATGTTTAAACCTCATTAGAAGATGACTGCCAAGCTGGACATGGCAGCACAAACCCATTATTTCAGCTACTCGGGAGGTTGAGGCAAAAGGATGGCAAGTCTTACATCAGCATGGGCAACCTAGTGAGACCCTGGGTGATAAGAGTACCCTGATGCTGCTGTTGATGATGATTATGATGAAGAAGAAAAGGAAAAGGAAAGAGGGAGGAGGAGGTAGCAGGAGGAGATAATAATAATCACCAGATGTAATGAAATAAAATATGCATTATGGGCCAAGTTCAAGACCAGCCTTGGCCACTTTCTGAGATTACCCCATCTCAGCCGAGTACAGCGGCACAGGCCTGCAATCCCAGCAGTTCGGGAGGCTAAAACAGGAAGATCGAGATTTCAAAGCAAGGCTCAGCAAAAAGTGAGGCACTAAGCAAATCAGTGAGACCATCTTTATATAAAATACAAAATAAAACAGAGTTCAATCCCTGGTACCTGCCCCCTCAAAAGATTACCCCATCTCAAAATAAAAATGGCTGGGGATGTAGTTCAGTGGTAAAGATTCCCCAGGTTCAATCCCAAGTACCAAAAGTAAAAAAAAAAAAAAAAAAAAAACCAAACTTAAAAATATTTGTATATACAGTTATTAAAACTGCCATTAACCTCCAATACTCAAGCCATGTCAGTCCCTTCTCCCCTGACAATTGATTCTTGAGCCTCATCTCTTCACTGATGATTTAATTTGATTATGTGGTGGGCTTCCAACTAAGTGTGGCAGTTCTTACCCCAATAGCAATCAGAATTAAACCTTATAACCATTGGCAACTAGGAAACAAAAATGTTTTGCTGATACTAATGTCAGCTGTTGAAAACTCCATGGATCCCAAATATTTCTAGTAATTCTGTAATCAGACAATACAAATATCTACCCCCCCCCTTGAATAGTACAACTTTCAGTCAACCTGTTTTTTCACATGAAACCTCTAGTTGTCAGATAACTGTTGTAAGATGTCTGAATCATAACTATTGGGATTCCAATTCAAAATCTATCACCCAGGTCAAGTTCAAAGACTTGGGCCTGGCATCAGGTCTAGAAGCAAGTCTATACTCTGCTCTCTGATTTGCAATGGGTTAGAAGGAGCAGTTGTATAGGTTATAGCTTTCTTGCAGGTGCCACACATAATCCCCAATTGCCATAAAGCTGAAAGAGGCCAATGGTACATTCTCAAGGAACTGCATTCCCTCAGCTCATTCTCAGGTCCTATGCAGGGCAAGGGGTACATTGTCTGCATACATGTGTGCCTAACATTCAAAGAGATGCTGTCAACACGACAGCTCTCGTGGATCTTCTTAATTTCCCTCTTTACTAGAAAAGGACTTCCTGACTTTAGATTGCAGAATGTCAAGTGATTTTATTTCTGGCATTTATATTCCATTTTCTTCACTCTAACACTTGCCTGAATGCTAAATAAGATACACTTTTGTGATGTGGTTTTTTATAAATCCAGTCAGAGCAGGTAGGGTACAGAGATGATCACTTCATACTACCTGACCAACAAGCTGAAAAGACTATAATGCATAGCTGCAAACTCAATCACTGCAGCAACTCCTGGCAGATTATGTATCTAGGAATATCATCTTGTTTAGTTTAATAGCTATACCCGACATCCTTGAGGACAACTCTATGTCTCTACACTGCAACCAACAACTATAGATTCAGATTTGGCTTCCTATCACATTTCATTTTCTGTTTTGTTTTTGTGATACTGGAAATTAAACCAAGGAACACTTTACTACTGAGTTAAATCCTGCCCCTCTGCCTTTGTATAATTTTATTTTGAAACAGGGTCTCACTCAGTTTCCCAGGCTGGCCTTGAATTTGGGATCCTCCTGACTTGGCCTGCCAAATAGCAGGGATTACTGGCATGTGCCACTGTGCCCAGCTTCATTTTCTGTTTTCTTTCCTTCCCCGCCCCTGGACACTTAACCACTGAGCCATATGCTCAGACCTTTTTTATTTTGAGACAGATCTCACTAAGAAGTAGTTTAGGGCCTCCCTAAATTGCTAATGATGGCCTAGAACTTGCAATCCCCTTGCTATTTAGCTTCTGGAGCTGCTGGGATTACTGGAGTGAGCCACCACATGTGTTTACCTTAGGGCTATACTATCAGGATTCACATCTGAGACCCAGAAAGGTCCTTGAGCCAAACACAGTGACTAGAGCTCTTTCCTCCACCAGAGTCTTCCCAATCTCAGGCAGCTAACATCAAATGGACACCTCACTCCACTGGCCACAGTATATCCATCCTTAATGAAATTTTAAAACATCTACTTTTCTACCTTTTCAACATTTTGATGTTGTCTGTATGTACTAACAATAAGGAAAAATGGCTTGGATTATAGCTTGGTAGTTGAGTGCTTGCTTTCCTAGCATGGGTAAGGCACTGGGTTTGATCCTCAGCACCACATAAAAAAAATAAAGAAAGAAAGAAAAAACTAGTAAGGAAAAAGGAAAAATAAATGCTGATAAGTCAGAAAGCATGCCGAGCACAGTGGTGCACACCAGCACCAGGAGGTTGAGACAGAAGGATTGCAAGTTCAAGGCCAGGCTGGGCAACTCAGTGAGACTCTATCTTAAAATAAAAAGGACTGGGAATGTAGCTCAGTGGTAGAACAACCCTGGGTTCAATCCCTAGTACCATTAAAAACAAACACAAAAATCTTGACAGCACAGTAAACCTATATAATACAGAAGGCAAAAGTTCACCAATAAAATGACAATCTTACTGATGATCCAGAA